ATTGCTTTTAGAGTATGGCAGTGTTCTGATCTTATGATTACAAGTAGCTGTTGTCAATCAGTTCCTCAGTAACTGGTTAATTAATATTACAAAATCTGTAAAAATAAAAGCACTAATGCTTTGCATTATTTACCAGTCATAATGACAAGAAGTCACATTTGTAAAATGAATTTTTATATTCCATATGGAAACTTATAGATCAGACTTGCGTCATTCTCAGGTACGTGGTTGGAATATAAGTGTTTTTAGGTTTATTTGTCCACTGTCTGGAAAATTCCTACTTTAAGTGTCAGCCCCAAGTCTGGTGGTGACTTTTATTAATTCTTTCTGTTGAAGAAATACGTGTTCTGTACAGACAGTATTTATTTTCATGTGTATATAATGGTAAAGTATAATTTATTCTGCAGTAATTCAGTCTTTGCATAAAATATTATAGCGCGGGGATTAGTTTTCTTTTTAATAAAGCTGGTCTAGTGTAAAATAAAAGAAAAAAGAAGTATGCTACCATTTTGCTAATATCTCAGAAAGTAATTAATTCCAGCTAAAATGAAACTGAATCAGTTAATACTTTTTAGGAGCTGCAGTTGTGTATGTTAGCAAGCATGCTGTTCCATAGGGCTCTTTATAACAATCCCTGTTGCTGAATTCTTAATTTCTTCCCAGTGTCCTTCTCAAGTTTGTTAGTGAAATAGTAGTGTGATGTTTTTTGTGAGTGTATCTAGAGCATATGTGCTGACTGCATAGACAGCGTGGTTTTATTGATTGGTCAGATGCCTGGTGTTAATGCTGGAATGAGTTCTGTTGAAACAAAATGAATTTTGTTTCAGGAAGTCTTTGCTCCCTGTTGGGTTTCCTTCAGAATTTTTAAGTAACTTAATATCCTGAAATAATCATTTTTGCCTAGTAAATTGTTTACTGAATTCTTAGGGCCTTGGTCAAGAGATTCAAAATCTATTGTGTTGAAGATGACTGAAAAACAGCTATGTTGTTAACATTTTACTCAAACTAGGCTTAAAATACCACCTTGACTTATTCACAGAATCACAGAATGGCCAGGATTGGAAGGGACCTCAAGGATCATGAATCTCCAACCCCCCTGCCACATGCAGGGCCACCAACCTCCCCGTTTAATACTAGACCAGGCTGCCCAGGGCCCCATCCAATCTGGCCTTGAACACCTCCAGGGATGGGGCATCCACAACCTCTCTGTGCAGCCTGTTCCAACACTTCACCACTCTCTCTGTCAAGAATTTCCCCCTGACATCCAACTTAAATCTCCCCTCCCTCAACTTAAAACCATTTCCCCTTGTCCTGCTGTTATCTACCCTTGTAAAGATTTGACTCCCCTCCTGTTTATAGGCTCCCTTTAGGTACTGAAAGTCTGCAGTGAGGTCACCCTGCAGCCTTCTCTTATCCAGGCTGAATAAGCCCAGCTCTCTCAGCCTGTCACTGTAGCGGAGGTGCTCCAGTCCCCTGATCATCTTTGTGGCCTTCCTCTGGACCCTGTCCAACAGCTCTCTGTCTTTCTTGTACTGGGGCTCCAGACCTGAATGCAGTACTCCAGATGAGACCTCACAAGAGGTCAATCACCTCCATGTCCCTGCTGGCCCTCTTCTGATGGAGCCCAGGATGCCATTTGTGTTCTGATCTGCAAGACCACACTGCTGGCTCATGTTAAGTTTTTCATCCATCAGGACCTTGAGTTGCTTCTCTGCAGGGCTGCTCTCGAGGGCTGCTCTTTCCAGTCTGTATAAATGCCTTGGATTCCTCCATCCCAAGTGCAAAACCTTGCATTTTGCTCTGTTGAACCTCATTACGTTCACCCAGGCCCACCTTTCAAGTCCCTTCCTTCCACCATGTCACCGTGCACCACTCAGCTTGGTGTCATCAGCAAACTTGCTGAGGGTGCACTTGATTCCATCATCAATGTCATTGATAAAGATGTTAAAGAGCACCAGTCCCAAGACAGACCCCTGTGGGACACCACTTGTTACCGGCCTCCACCTGGACATAGAGCCATTGATGACCACCCTCTGTCTGCGGCCTTTCAACCAGTTTCTTATCCATCGAGTGGTCCACCCACCAAATCCACATCCCTCCAATTTGGAGAGAAGGATGTGGTCAGAGACCATGTCAGATGCCTTACTGAAGTCCAGGTAAATGATATTGGTTGCCTTTCACTTTTTCAGCAATGCCATCACTCCATCATAGAGGACCACCAGATTGGTTAAGCATGATCTTCCCCTGGTAAACTTAACTAATAAGGCAGTACAGGTTAAAAAAAGATAGCTGGGTTCTTCTGAGTTGTATTCCTATTTTAGTTGAGGAAATGATTTATACTTCATATATTTTAGCAGTGTTGAGTATGTATCCTCAGAGAAAACTGACTTTCTGCAAGGACTAATCAGTCCATCTAAGATACTCTGCATCTGAGCAATGACCAAATATAGTTCAGGTTTCCCTATAATTAAATGGAATAATTAAACTACATGCCATAGTTCCATTTGTCATGTATTTGATGTGTGCTGTGCAGGCAATTTAATAATCTGTACGATAGAAGAGTAGTTTCAGTACATCAAAGGGAATGTGCAGTGAAAATTCTGAAGTACATTTATAAATATACTGCATTTTGAACAGAGCCCAAATTTATGTCTTCAGTCTGCATTTTAGTGTTCCTTCTATTTGAATTGTCTAGTAGGCTCTGTGTAATGTCCTGTGATATGGTACAGTCCGTAAGTCTTATGGGTACTTTGAGAAAGAAAACCATATTTAAAAACCCTTTTTGATAAGGAAAGACTGGTGACTGTAGGCCCTTACTAGTTGAATGGAAGCTGTTAGTGTAAAAGAGAATGAAAACTGAGTTTGTTTAGGAGAAAAAATTTGGAATTCTCTCATATTTAGTAACTTTTTTTCCTGTCATCTTAGAAGTGAACATGTAAATTACAATTAAATCTACTGGTTCACTTTTGAACAGATATGTGAAATGAGTTGATCATTCAACGCTTGGCAAGCATGCAAACAAAATTAGACTGCATCCAGTAGTTAATGAATTTTTTTTTTGTGTAGACAATTTAATTCTTTTAAAAAATTAATTTATTTTATTAAGGCATTGCTTAAACTTTATTCTGTAAACTAAATTCCATTTGATAGTCATTGTAATATAAGTATACTCAGTATGAGGTTAATAGATTTTGTTGCCCATTCGGAAGTTGCAGAATAAGCTGAAACTGAAAATCTACTAATGTAATAAATGCAGTTTTTTTAGTTGAGGATTGTACATTTTGGTCACAACAACCCCAGGCAATCCTGCAGGCTTGGGGACAAGTGGCTGGGAAGCTGCCTGGTGGAAAGAGACCTTGGTGCACTGATGGACAGTCAACTGAATATAGCTAGCAGGGTGCCTAGGTGACCAAGAGGGCCACTGGCATCCTGGCTTGTATCAGGAATGGTGTGGTCAGCTGGACTAGGGAAGTCATCCTGCCCCTGTACTCAGTACTGGCCCCACTTTGAGTCCTGTGTTCAGTGTTGGGCACCTCACTGCAGAAAGGACATTGAGGTGCTGGAGCAAGTCCAGGAAGGGCAACAGGGCTTGTGAAGAGCTTGGAGAATATGCCCTATGAGGAGAGACTGAAGGAACTGGGTCTGTTTAGTCTGGGGAAGAGGAAACTGAGGGGAGACCTTATTGCTCACTTCCAATACCTGAAAGGTGCTTACAGGAGAGCGGGGTTGGTCTCTTCTCACTGGTGACAGGTGACAGGATGAGGGGAAATGGCCTCAAGTTGTGCCAGGGTAAGTTTAGGTTGGATATTAGGAAATGCTTCTTTACAGGGAAGGGTTGTTAAGCACTGGAATAGGCTCCCCAGGGATGTGGTTGAGTCACCATCCCTGGATGTGTTTTAGAAGTGTTTGGATGTGGTGCTCAGGGCCGTGATTTAGTGGTAGGTCATTAAGAGTTAGGGTAGTATGGTTAGGTTGTGGTTGGACTTGAAGGTCTTTTCCAACCTGAGTGATTCTATGATTCTGTATTCAAAGCTTTGAAGCAGTTGTTCTTGTAGCACTACCAAACAGATGTAGTCTGTCACCGTTAATGGTTTAGTTAACCTATAGCTAATTGGAAAGAGACTGCTGACTGGTGGCCTCTGTCCATGAGTTAAATGATGTGTGTTTCTTAAAGTATCTTGGCTTTTTCTGAGGGTAAAATTATGAAAAATAAATCCAATTTGTCAATGTTAAAAACATTTACTGTTATTATTCTCTGAAAGATTCTTTGATATTGAGAGCTGATGATGATATTGAGATCTCTCAATTAGAGGTGTAGAACTGTGCAGTCTTTGGACTAACTTGCATTACAACAACCTTGGACTTGTCACTGATTTATGCTGAATTAAAGATGGTTAAAAGCTGGTTCAGTGTTCTAATTTTGGTGACAAAGACTCTTTATTCAGAATTAAAAACTTTAGACAGTGGTTTCTGTTCTTATGGTTTTGCAGTGCCAGAAATTGATTTTCAAACTGATTAGTATTAATATTTGCAGTTAGTATACTGTTAGCAAAGAACACATTAATTAAAAAGGAAATAACTCCACATACATGAAGTAAGAGTAAAGTAAATGTGTTTTTTGAATTCTATTATATGGGTTTTCCTTTTTTATTGTATCAAGCCAATATTTTTTGGAAAAAAGGTATTTCAGGAGAACTGAGAATTAAATGCTCTGTTTTAGGGTATAAAAGAATTCTCTTTATAGTTAACAGTAGTGGTATTTAAAATAATGGCACAAGATATTTAAGGAAGTAGAAGTCTGTGACCTTTTAAATTTATATGTATTAGTTTAATCCCTCTAATGTTGACATAGTCTTACTGGTTTGTATTAATAGAGCCTCAGTCTCTCTCTTAATCCATGATTCTAGATGCCATGTTCTCCATAATTCAGTTACTAATGCTTAGAGGTAAACTTCTATTGATTTGTTTGGTTTTGCTGGAAATTCTACTTTTCCTCCTAGGACAAGAAGGACAAAGTCTCAAGATTTGACACTATACGTCACTCCATAGCTGGAATTATAAGGTCTCCAAAATCCATGTTGGGCTCATCATCAGTAAGTAATAATTAGTGTTGCAGTACATTCTCTTGTTTGTCAGCTTAAGCAAGATTTCCATCTACATAGACAAAAATTGTAATATTATTAAAAACATTGTTCTGCCTGATCAGTGGGCGTGATAATACTATTGCATAATAGTGTGTAAGAATAACACTAATATATCATGTAGGAAAAATAAATTGTATATTCTTTGCAGTGGCCAGCGTGGTGCTGTAATTCTAAGAGTGCTCTTTCCTGTGTCAGTTCACTAGGAATGCTATATAATGTGATACTTTGTAGGGGATTACCAAGCACATTATGGGCATTTCTGCAATGATTACATTCCCCTTTGTATACAGTGGATATACAAATGAAATTTGCTTCACGTTATTAGTATTTAACTCTTAATGTGGTTAGCTATTCATCTTTTTCATGCTGACTATCACAGTACTGTGTTGATTGCTAAATGGTGTGAACTGTAAACTGGTGTATGCAGCTATCATAGAATTGTACAAACTGATTAAGGAAAGTGTTTATTATAATATTGAAGTGCATGAAATAAATTAGAGAAGTACAAACAAAAAAGTCTGTTAGCTACATGTTTTCGTATATATTTAAAGCTTATTGGAACTTCAGAAGTAAAACTATATTTTGGTTTGAATGCAGTGATATTCAAAAAATGCTATCCCATATTTAGTTGGTTACCAGAAGTTAAATATTGTGGTTAACTGAAAAAAAAAAAAAAAAAGGACTTTTTTGTTTCTTCTGTGCAAAGCTGTGGAGAAGCCTAGAATTTCCTCAAGCAGCCAAGAGTTAAACTGTTATTTATGAGTTGACACTTAAGTGATCTATGGGTTCTGAGAATGGAAAGGTATACAGTAAAATTAGTTTGATCAAATGATGAGAGGAAACATGAAAGAAGAGCCAACTTTTCTGCACCAGTAAGTCTGGGCTATGTATTAACAGAATAGAGTCTGAATAAGTTGTATAGTAAACATCAGCTTCTACCATTCTGATTAAATGAGTCTATTTTTTATCAGTGAAGGATTTGGTGCAGATGGCTGTTCCCGTTTATAGGATAACTGCACGTGTTGTGTCTCTTACATCAAATAATATTAAATTTTTTAGATTTAATAATGATGATCATAAAACATCACTTTGTACAAACTGCAAGTGATATTTTATTATGATGGCTTTATCTTAGAATTTTCAGGTCTGTACATTTTTACTTCTATAGAGTTTTTTTGATAGGTAATTAAAACTTTTCACTTCTTTGGCAGAGTAGGTGTTGACTTCCAATGACACGTTGGCTTGTAGAACGGAGCTAGATTTGCTGCTGGTAGAATATTCTACAGGGAAGTGTCTCAAAAAGTCAACATAACTGTATTGCTTTGATTTCTAATCTCTCCTTGTGCCTTTTTTACAACTTGAGATTAAAAAAAAATCTAGATAAAATCTTGGTTTGTGTAAGAGTAGAAAATAAAATACACAAAGACTAAGAATATGTGAAAATGAAATTTCAAGTAAGCTATTTGTTTAATAAAATGTTCCCATTGTTATTCTTTTCATTGGGAGAATAAGTGCAGAAATAGTTTCTCTTTTTCTGAAGTTAAAAGTACTCTTTGTTTAATACTTCTTTTTAGTAAGAACAGTAGCTGGGGACTGCTTGATTTTTACTGTTGGAGAAAAGCTGCTATTTCAATAGATTGCTAATTATAGGGAGGAAAAGAAGTTTAGAATAAGTTAGGAGGGCAGTAATAACCTGAGCATGATTGATAGGAGTGAATATTTCTCCTTTCTGGATGAAAAGCATGATTAAAATATTTGAGGGTATCCCTTTGCTGAAGTAATTGGTGAGCAAACCGTGGGAATAAGTGAAGAAAGAAGAAAAAAGAATTTGGGAAGGAGAAGAAAAAATTTTGTGTGGTTTCCTTTCCCTCTCTATGATCTTGTTATTTTTTTGTTTTGTTTTGTTTTTCATTCAAACTAACAGAAATCTTAAAAATAAATTAATAAATAAAATAAAATAAAATAAAATCTGCATTTAAGGTACTGAATCGTGCATTTGATAGTTCCTCTGTGTTTATGTGCATGTGAGCAAGACTTTTTTAGTCACAGAGTGACACTTTAAAACACTGGGGCCTAGAATGAAAACAGCACTAACTGGTAAATTTATTTTTAATTAGTATATGTATTTAATTATAATTAAATTTAATTATATATAATATAATTACAACATATATATTTAATTAGTATTGAAATGATGATATTCTTGTACTGGTCTTTTTGTGCTCTCAGCTATGTTTTTGTTTTCCAAGGCTGGGGTGAATATCATATAATGTGGAAAATATTTTTAAAAAATAATTTAAATAATATTCAAAACATAAATTTTTACCATTTGTTTCTTCGGAGAAAATACTGTAATTCACCTTCTTTATAAGTACCCCCCCAGGGTAAGGTAAAAAATATAGGCAGTGTAAGGTAGGGAATGTGTAAGGTCAGCAAAGAATACAACTTTTTGTTGTTTACTTCTATGTGAATAAACATTAGTTTAAACAAATTTAAAGCTAGGAGGAAGGCATAAGCAGCATCGTAGCTAGCATTTTTAAAATGTTTTCTTGTTTCTTCATGAGCCTTTTCTGTGTTTTATTCTGGGGATGTGATCATGATTTTCTGTCTAAACAGTGACTCACACTTTACCCAGTTTGAACGTAAGGAGATGTTATTATCTGGTGACTGCCTCTTCTGTAAGCTTTAAAATAAATTACAATGTCAGGTTTTTTAACTTTTTTTAAAGTTTTCTTTTGTGAAGGGTATGGACTAGTTTATTGACTCTGAGCGGTCCTTCTATCCCTAGAGTCATTTCCTTTGGAGTAGAAATGTATTTATGTGGCAAAGGTTTTGCTACTTTGAACCCCTTAATGTTTCTTTATAGCACAGCAAAGATCTGTTTTTTGTGTTTTGTTTTTTTTTTTTTCTCAGCATCTTTGATGCATAAATATTCAAGTGAATAACCTCTTAAAACATTTTGAAAGCTTTTTTGTGTGTGTGTGTGTTTGTTAGGGATTTCTGCAAGAGAATAGCTTAGTGTCATTTAACCATGGGAGACAACTCTAGTCTAAGAAGTGTTTAACTTTTGACAAAATTGAGATGAGTGCCTTCTTGATCAAACAATGTTCTGGGCTTTTAGTAGTTCTCTATGCAAATAAATGCAGTACCTTGGAATACTTCTTTTTCTCCAAAAAACTGTTATCTTTCTATTCAATCTGTTATTTTTTCTTCGTAGTCCTTCTTAGTTTTGAATCTGTAATAAAGCATAATTGGTAAATGAGTATCCTTACTCATGGCTAGAAAGAGTGTGTTTGTTACTGTTTTGTCAGATCTCGCATCTGAAATAATTTGATAAAAGAGATGCCCAAAGATGTAGATCCCACTTTTGATGTCTGAGAAGAGGAGGCCTAGTCAGACTCTTAGATAGGATCTCTAGTTTTCCATGAAACTCTTGGGCTAACAAACTATATCTTCTGAGGTGTTACTTGGAAAGGCAGCCAGAAACCCACAGACAGAGGCATTTGTTGTACCAGATACGTGACTATGAAAGTGCTAAAGAATTACATACATTTAAAAGGAAATTTTCAGTAGACTCCCTTTTTGTTGTTGTTTTCTTATTACCTCTCAGAGAATTCCTAATGGTTAGGGATTTGTTTCTTTATTTTGGATTCTTTTTTTTGGTTGGGTAGGTAATCTTGACCTGAATATCCCCTCAAGAAGATTGTAAATTTGCGTATTGCCTCCATCCTGTCCAGAGCCATGTCATTTTTTTACTCTTGCATGCACAAGTGGAGCGTTTCTGTTCACTTTATCCAGCCTATAAGGGAAAAATAGGATTGTTGTTTCACTGGGTTAGAGAAGAATCTAGAGGTTCATTCAAAATTCTGTGTTTTGTTTCTGTCTGTTTGACTGTGCTTAGCTGAGATGTGAGTCTTTATTCTGCTATCCGAAATGCAAATCAGCAGGCTTGCATGGGAGATATCCATGTATCATTTAACTCCTGACACAATACAGTGTATTGTTTTGTTCAGAGCTTTTCCAGCTGGCAGTGAGAATTTGTATGACCCCTGACACTAAGGATTTCAAATGACATAAAGCTTCTCAGTCTAGTCAGAACAATTAAATCTGAAGATATCATTGAATATAATGTTTTTCTAAGTGTTTTTTTAAACAATTCTAAGCTCATTTAAATTAATATATAAAACTGTAGATTAAAACTCATTACCTTCTGCTTACAATCAGTGAAAATAGTATCTTGTAATCATTATGGCTTCAGAAACTCAGTGCAGGTTCATGAACGCAGTATATCCACATGTCTGTTCTCTGCTGTCATGTAAATGCTGGGGAAGATGTCACTTCGAGTATTAATTGATTGGTATGGAGCTTTTAAGTTGTATTAAAACAATTTATCCAATGTAAGTGCTTTTTGAATTCAGGTTTTTCTCTCAGAAGTTTCTTTATATGAAGAAAATCTTCATTTTTAATTGTTATTAATAGCATGTCAGAATGTTTAAAACAGTGAAAAGGAGTCATTGGTCACTATTGTTCAGTATGGCTTAAGAAGAACAGCCAAGTGAAAGTTCTTACGTGTTTTTATGGATATTTCCATAGACTTAATGCTTTTCGTGTGAACAGACTTAATTGTTTAGATAATAGAAAAAAAAAAAGATTGGTGTCCATTTTCTGTAAATATGCAAGCCTTAATTTGTTAGTAGAAATACTTAATCTAGATACATAATTTAGAAATTATTGTTTTTTATCATGCTTTTCATTTAAAAGTAAATTCTAAAAATGTACAGTCACAGTAACATTTTTCTTCAATATCTTTCCCAAGTTCTTTGATGTAATATCAACCACAGAGAAACCGTTGGCAGAACAAGACTGGTATCACGGTGCAATTCCAAGAATAGAAGCCCAGGAGCTGTTAAAACAGCAAGGAGACTTCTTGGTGCGAGAGAGCCACGGGAAACCTGGTGAATATGTCCTTTCTGTGTTTTCAGATGGACAACGGAGACACTTTATCATACAATATGCTGATGTACGTCTCTGCTATAGTACTAAATATTCAATACTAGGATATCTATTACTAAATGATTTAGTATCTACGTAATGTAATATTACATATGGCTTTAATCTTTAAATGAAATTTGTTGCAAATATTTCAATTGGTATTCAAACCAGGGGAGAAGGTTATTCTGGGGAATAAAAGAAAAATATTATTTTACCATATATTGAAAAGCCAAAATATTTCTGTAGATGTTATGAAATCCAGAACTTGCTAGTGCTCATTTCTGCATGTACATTTATTTATTTTTAAACCAATTTTTGTACTGAATACTAATAGGTTACTTTTAATTCAGACTAATGATGCTCTAACTGAAAAATTCAAATAATATGTGCTGTTTCCTGTACAGTTGAGAGTTTAAATCCCTTCTGCTCTGGAGATACTTTAATTCTTTTTAGCCCCGTGAATGTTGTTTTGTTCAGTAGAGCTCACAAGATTTTGAATACTATGCAGCACATAGGACTTAGTAACTTAGATTAAAACTGCCATTCTAGAAAGTATGTCAATATTTATATGCCTTTACCTAATGTATTTTTAATATTCTTAATCCGTTACTTGTTTTTGTTTATATATGTATTTTTCTAATTACCCTTCAGAATTCCAAATTAATTCCAAGTGCAGCAGTTCTTATATCTGTTTTCATATAACAAATTATTCTATGTTTTCAAATATAGTATCATTCTTTGTTTTGGTTCAGTAATGATGACAGAACATATTTCAGTCTTTCGTTATAAGGTCTCCAAAAATTCTGTCAAACTTCATAGAAGAATGCTCATGTTTGGTCTCGTAACTAAGTTTACACTATGGATATTTTCCATGTCTAAATCTCCATCTGGAAGACGGTGTATTGTGTACTGGTTTATTTCTTTTTAATGAGGGGCTGCGATATTTTTAAAACTATGAAAATTTTAGATGTTTTGTACTATCGGTGATTATGGATACTTGTCTAGCTGGACTTTTTAGTAATCTTCATCTGGGATTTTTACTGTAAAAGTGAACCTTGATACAAAGCCAGTGTTATAATTTGATTTTTTTATAGTCTTTAGTATTTTGGAATACCAGAGTGCTAGTTGGGAAAATAAGAACAATAAATTAATTATAACTAGACACGCAGAATCTTAAAAGATGCTTGGTGCACTCTGACCCTGACCCAGCAGAATTAAGTATATGTAATATACTTGAAATCATTTTGTGCACATCACTATAGATAGAGCTCTAAAGTCAGAGCAGAGAAGTTTTTCTAATTATTTCTTTGAGGCCACTCTTATCTGTAAGCTGAAAAATTAAATAAAGCTGTCTTTTTTTTCCCCAGTAATTTTATTACTTCCTCTCAGGAATCATATTTGAAATATAACAGCGAGATTGTTTAATGTTGCATAGCTTGGCACAGTCCAAACATCATCATGTCACTAGATCTTTCTGCTTATACATTTATTAACAGGATATTGCATTAGTCTGGTCCTGGAGTGCATTTAGGGAAGATTTTGTTGATAATCATGAAAGCTAAAACTTCTGAAGAAATGCAGAACTCCTTAAGCACTCTTAGAGGATGAATTTTCTGTATTAATTGTGGAAAAAAAGGCTTTAATTTTAAAAAGAGAGTAAAGCTTTTTAGCCTTTAAAAGGAGTTATAACTAGTGGGACTAAATAGTCATACTAAAGAGGAAATGGATTCCTAGACACTTTGGTAGGCATGTTGTCGGAGTTTAATTCAAGATTTTAATAACTCTGTTTACATTGTACAAACGAAGGGTAATCAGATTTCTGACTGTCAGATCACTGGGGGTTTTTGGTTTTCATTCAGTTGTTTTTCTGAATCAGGGACTGCTGAATGCATTAGGATATATGCAGGATATATATTCTTTACATAACTTATTTTATCTCATTTTAAGTGTAAATCTTAATGAAAGCGTATATGAGATAAATGAGTTCAATTGCTTAAATTTAAGCATCAAAATTCAGTGCTGAAATTTGTTAGTCATTCAAGACTACTTTTTTTTTTTCATTTATTCTGTTTTGAGTCTATGCTGTTCTAAATATATTTGTTAGTGATCTTAATGGTCAGGATCCCGTGAAAATACAGAGAATAAAACAACATTCTTTGCCCCAAAGATTTTACATAGATGACAGCAGATGGGTATAAGATTGGGGCTGCAATGAGGGAATAAAAGCAGTACTGATTCTTATGCTAGGCCAGTTCTTAGAACATCAAGTTTTTTGAATCATCAGAACAGAAATAAAAATGGGGCTATTTGAAAGGAGCTGGAATTAGTGTACTGCTCACTGAGCCAGTATCTACTTTTACACTTAGCTATAATGTACAGTTTAAGACATGAAGGATGAAATAAACACACTTTTCTTACTGTCAAATGTAAAGTCAAAGATAAGATACTACTTTCTTCCTCATACTGTTTTAAAAAATGCTGTATTTGCTAAGACAATGTTACATATCTCTAATACATTAAGGGATTTAATTGTTCCTATTTTGTAGATTGTATAGCTAAAATGAAGTAAATTGACAAAAATGGAGGAGTTGAAGGGAAAGAATTTTGTCCTGGCCAAATGTTCTTTGTTGGTTATATGCATGACTTCCCTTTGTTTTTAGCATCCATACCACTCTGGTCTCTTCTGATAAACATTAATCCTTAAAGGATGATTCTTGGTCTTGCACTTTATGCTAGAGTCTACTAGTTGAATCAAACATTGCAAATGCAGTAAGATCTAAGTAAAAAAAAAAAAAAAAGTTACTTATATCTTGTCCAGTTTATTTTCAGATGTTTGTTTTAGTTCATTTTCTGTTATTTATAAATAAAATATATATTATATTATACAGTGTTAGGTGCTTAGGAATTCAGTATTGTTTCAGGCTTATAATACTTCACTCTGTCATGGTTTAAGTACCTCAAGTAGCTCCATCTTTGGAAATGCAAGTGCTGCCCTTTTCTTTAAACTTAAGAGTTTGAGTAAATAGTTACTTTATTCTTTTACTGCAAATGAGTGATTTGATAATTTTGCATTTATTAATGAATTGTCTTATCATTCCATGAAATTCATGATAGTAGAAATGCTATTAAATAGATAAGGACAAAAATATAACTTTGTGAATGTGAACGTTTCTTTGTTTCTGTTTAAGGAAGCTTTGAAAAGCTTTTTTGTAGTTTTTGCTTTGAGAGAAACAGTAATTTCCTTTTACCTCCATACAGAATCAGTATCGTTTTGAAGGAACTGGATTTCCAACTATTCCTCAGCTCATAGAACATCATTATACAACAAAGCAAGTTATTACAAAGAAATCAGGAGTTGTTCTACTGAATCCTGTTGTGAAGGTAATGCATGCATTTCAAGAACTCTTTAACTGAAAAGAGTAGGGAGGGTTTGTACTGTTATCTAAAACAAATTCCTATGCAGCTTGAAAGATTTTTCATTCTTGCTTATTGTTCTGTGACTTTCTGAGATTTTTTCAGCCTTCTGTGCTCCACATAATGCATTCCTATAAAATAACTTTCCATACTGATTCTTAAAATAAATCTTTACTATATTGAATAACAACATTCAGTCTTAAAATATATCCTTGTACTTTTCCTTTTTCTGCTTTGCATTTCCTTTTAGAATTTTACTGCTGGCCAAGTAATTCCCATGAAGTTGCAATAAGGAATTTTTCTTGAATAAAGTAATGTAAACAAGGTTCTTTTAAGTGGTAGAATTCTAGCAAAGTTTGGAAAACTTGTGTTACCTCATGGTTTTGCCTCTATTTCATATAAGGTTTTGATACAGGCATGGAAACAAGTATTAATTACCCTGACAGCATAACTGCTGATTTGAAATTCAAAATTTCCTTATTAATCAGTATCATAGTGTAATGACTTCTGTGAGAGGAATGATAAGGGACAGAACTATTAAATTATACAACTATTTGGAAAGCTTAAAGAGAGTACCTGTGCCATTTTCCCAGAGTTTTTAAGTTAATATCTGCTCAATTGATACTTCATGCATATGTGAACTGTTTTTAACAGGAATCTTGAACTATGAGTAAGCCATTTGCACTTGATGAAAAAAAAACAAAAACAAACAAAACAAAAAAAAAAAATCAAAGAACCTTAGACAAGTCTGAAGAATACATATAGCACCTTCTGTGCTACAAAAATTCTTTGAAGTGTAACAATTTCTATTTCAGTTTCCTAATACAAACTCCCCATTCTTCACCTTTAATAATCCTAAAAAATTAAAGCATATTCGTTTTCTCAAAATTAATGTGGTTTTTGTGATCTTCTATGCTTACCTATTATGTATACTTCCAAATTTAAAGTATGGCAGTTGTTAAGTACATATTTTTAGTAAATGTCATGGTGATTATAAAATTAAGACTGTTAAATGTGAAGTATTGCTTAAATTCATTGATGAATCTGAGAAAACTTGTGACTTCATTTTTGATGTGCAGATAATTATATTTTTCTATAAACTCTTTAAGCTAAAAAGAAAAGACTGCAGAACTCCAAATGAAATCTTTCTGTTTATAATTTCTTTTACAAAACTGTTTTTTTGTTTCTGCAATCGACATACTGTGAGAGCTGCTCTGTTTTTGCAGATGTAAAATAACCGTATGGTATGTTACTATGTACTTCATAATAAAATACTTGATTCTTATTATTAAGGTTAAACAGGCTTGAAAAATACAGTTTTTTTTATTGACTGTTGCTGACTTTGAAGGCAGAAAGCTTCTGTATTCCTGACATTTTTTTCATCTTCTTGGGGGGTGAAGGTTTTTATGTGTAGTTTTCTATAATAACAAACTGTGAAAGAGTGCTTCTTTTACATACAATGTTGAGGAAATATACGTTTCCAGATATCAGTTACTGTAATTTATCCATGCCCTTTGAGATATAAATGCAAGTAGAAATAATCTGTGTGAATAGGTAACTTAAAGTGCAGACATCATAAGTAAATTTCAGAAAGGTCATGTGTACTCTGACACCTAATTGGGATTATTTTCCACATTATATTAATATTGGAGTATCTTTGATGTTTTCCTTAAAATTCATTTGACAATCTGCAAGGTCTGTTTCTCCTGTCGTCTTATAGCTGCAAAGTAGTCTTTGACATTTCATGCAGTCGTTAATCTTTTAATGCAAATTGCTGTCTCTGTAATAACCTGTTTAGGAAATGAAAGTTAAATATGACAGAGAACTTCACAGAAAAACAATTATGCCATGTAGTTTGTTTTTGCTTTCCTTTCTTCTCGCAGTCATTTATCCTCCTTTACCATATTAGCAAAATTAGTGTTCACCTTCTGTGACATTGCCCTTGAAAGGAACACTCTTAACTGTGCTACAAAAGGCCTGTCCTCCATCCATTTTCTTGCAGACCAAATCAGCCTGCTTGGAATTTTAATGGTATATAATAATAGAATTTAAATTAAAAAACTGCTGTCATTAAAATGATATCTGCAAGTGATTTTTTTAATGGAAAAGCCTCTTACTTGTATTTATTGCACTCTATGTTCTTCAGTGTATTATTGATAAAATAACTGATTTGAAGAGTGCTAGAGTAACCTCAGAACATACCCAAGGACTTTTTAGCAGAAAAGCTATTCTAAATACATAAAACATGCTTTCACTTTCTACTGTCTTTGACCTCATGTTTTTCAAGTATTTAAATTTCCTAAAATACATTCTATTCACTTAAGAAATCTGTATTAAGTTGCAGATATGCTCAGTGTGTTTAATAAAAAATGAAATTATCAAGGACATAATTACCAATTTCATTTGGTTATATCCGCATTAACTTTTTAGCTTGGATCAGAAATACATTTCTGAAGTAAATCTGCCCATTACCACTTAGGTTTTGAACTTTACTCCTTTAGACAGGAACAGAATAGTAAGATGCACAACTGATGATGGGATCTCAGTCTTCATAATCTGAGGAGATCTGGTCTGATATTGTCCCTTGTCCTTCCATGTTTATGTTTTAGGGTCTCTTCAGCAGTTGTTTACTCTGCTAGTCTGCTGCTATTTGATTACTATCAATATAGTCAGTCTTTGGACCTTCTGCAGTAAACTCAAATTCCAGACTCATGGAAAACAGAATGCCACTTCTTTGTCAGATGAGTTAGGCAGTACATTTGCTGCTAGTGGCTTTCAATTCTGGATCTATTTTGAGGTTGTGAAGAAGCCTTTGTTATGGCCTCAAACAGGCACATGGAAAAATGATGAACTGTAAATAACGTTAAGTGAAGTGAAAGAAAAATGAAAGGTGTATTTGATTTTAGCGGTTCCAATGATGAACAAGTTTGTAAATGAGTTGAGAATTCCATGTGGGTCTGAATCTCAGTGTGAAGTTACGAAAAAATGTAAGTGAGAAGATAAAGGTAGTGATACTCTTTTCATAAAAGTCACTGGTAAAAATCTTATGTGACTTTAATTCTTCATTCACCAAACCTGTTTTAGTTGTAGTTCATATTTAAAAGTGTTTTGATCTCAGCTTTCAAAGACTGAAAGTTTAAACAAGTTATGTGCTCCGTGTTCTAGCTTTTCAGTACTTCTGTCATTCAGTTGACATACACAAAATACCCATGCAAAACTAACCAAAATTTCTTTTCCCAATTTTGGGTTTCCCATGGTGTTGATTGGTTTTGCAGGTATTTTGTTTGCTCTTACTCTGTTTACAAAGTTCAGTGTTGCAGACAGCGTGCATATCCAGGGTGAAAGTAACTCACATTTCATAGGCCTTCAAGGTTGAACTGGAGGAATTAGGGGAAATTGCTGAAGAGTCTCATTTTCAGTCAGACTTCTCAGAAGTCTCAATACCCTCTCAATAAGTAGACTTCTGATTTTATTACAGAGCAGTGCTAATACTCAATTAGGAATACTCGTCTTGAGACGTGAAAGAGTTAAGTTGGAGTAATCAGTGCTGCCTGCTGGGGAGGACATCTTATGTTTGTTAGATCTAAGAACAGCTCTTTTGGAGCTGAACTCTCATGTAAATGGAAGGAGACTATAGCAGCAAACAGTTCAGCTATCAGTGTCATGTAGGCTAGTTTTTTTAGTGCCAGAGAGGGTCAAATTGTGAGTTTCCTAGATGATACCCACACATCTGGCAAAGCTTGTAGAAGTGCCAGGAAGAACCTTCTGTGCATGGTCTATGTGGGATGATTTTTGGCCAAATATGTAATTCTCCTGAACACAAAGTCGAATATGTGCACTTTCAATTGTTAAAATAGATCTTTCAGTTTTTTTAAGGAATTTATACAATGAGAAGTATGGACTTACGCTACCTACAGATATAGATCGTATTTTCTACAAAAGCATGAAATGTTTTTTTTTCACTTATTTGCCATAAAGCATTACTATGATCATACAGAAGACATGTGAAGGAAACTGTCAGTGTTTTTTTAGTGTAATAGGAGAATTTAGGCAAATTTTCAGTATTTCCTTTAGTTTAATTCTGGAGTCTGAAAAGGAGCAGCTATCGATATTTGATGACATTTAAGTATATTAGTATTAGAGATACTTTTGAGTTAGGCTTCTATTTCTTCAGAATTCAGAAGTGTTATGAGATTTCATTATAAGGCTTTTAGTAAAGGGGGCTGCAATAGTTCTGATGGATAATAAAAGGAATACATCTTCCTTAGTGGTAGCCTGTACTTCTGAAAGTATTACATCCTAATGAGAAAGGAAAAAAGAGAGTAGCTTTGTGCGAAGCACTAAACCAAATTTATGTGTAATTTCAAGTACTTTGAAACTTAAAAAGTTAGAGGAATGTTTTTTTCAAGAATATTTTAAAACTGTTGCAATAGCAGTGACACGTTGGAAACCCTAAACACAAAGTAACAAATATTGTTGTATATCCAGGTACCTTGTGACCAAAGACTTATGTAGATTTTCTACATGGCCATGGAATTAAAAATCTGCTTTAGGGAATGTATCTGTTTCAGTATTTTCCATTTTCCATTCCTTTCCATTTTCAGTTTTAGAGCGAAATTGGAAACTAGCATTCTTAAAGTGCATAAACATTTGTTTATGTTCGAGACTACAAAAAGTAGTAGTTTTTAAAGAGTGTATTACTTTCTTTTCAGCATACAAGGTATCATGTTTGAAGGATCTCTTTAAAATTTTCTGTCCTAGAAATACTAAGTGGGCATCTTGTCTGCATGTGCACTCCTAGTTTTTGTACATTCACATAAAATTAGTGCTGTAGTACTGCATGGGTTGGAATTTGGAGTTACCTTAAGCACAACTGAAATCAGAAAACAAAACATTTTGAAAATAATGGAACATTATGAAGAAGATAGAAATAAGCCAGTCACACACACACACAAAAAAAAAAAAAC